AAATTTTTTAAAAAAATTATCAGATCTTGTTTAATTTTACCTTATTTATTTCAAAGCATCACGTACTATCAATCTTATTTAATTTTAGTTTATTTTTACGCAAAATTAATTTCATAAATTTTGTGCTTAGAGTTTTTACCGTTTTACTGAAGTAAAGATGTTTGTACAAGAACTACGCGTGAAAGAAATGCGCGAAATGCAGTAAAAAGTTTTTAATGAGATATATTAAATCCTATTTGGAAAAACCTGTGGGTTTTATAGTCTCATCACTATACAACGTATCACATTTAATAATTAAAAAGAGTTATGTGATACAGACGCCATAATTTTCAGTATTAAAGTAAACCAGACCTCCCTACTCTTTCTTGCCGACATGCATGGACCTTATAAGAAATAGACCAACCCAAACGGGTTTTCTCCTTCGTCTGAGGCGTTGCCGCCTGTCACCTTGATCACATCATGAGGAGTAGGGACGACTTGCAGAAATTTAACATTGGTTGCCTATTGCAGCGTGTATAATTGTCAAGAGAAAGCTGGTTGTAGCGTCTCATTTCACAAATTTGGATTTCTACATATTTTTATTTTTGAAAATGAGATTGATTTTTAAAAATGTAGCATATTTATCAAGCTTAATAACGTTCCAAATAATTATAAAGCTATTGCATGCTTTCAGGGCTGGATTTAGCTTTTCCTATCCTGTAAGGAAATTTGTTTTTCTTTTTAAAAAAATAATATTTTAAATTTGAACTAAGAAAAATTTCAAACAAGCAATTTTCCTTTGCAATTTTTATGCTTTTATTGGTGTAATTATGTAAAATATACTAAAATATTTAAAAACGAATTTTTGAAAGTTTTTGTTTAAAAGGCTAAATTGTGCTGCTTTTTTAAAATTATAGATGAGTATTATAGCACAATTTCTATAAAGGAATTTTATTTCAATTATATTTCATAATACATCATAGTGATAAAACCACTTTTGACTCCTTAAAAATTTTTGCATTTAATTCTAATATTAAAATTATATTAACCTAATAATAATTTTGCTTCTATTTTATAGTGATTATTTTTTTAATTTATTTTTAGTTCTTCATAAGATTTTTTTTTATTTACTGGTCATTTAATTTATTAGCCCAAAGGGGCAGTAGCCTAGAAAGGCTGTTACTTTCGAAGCGGTATTTTGCGCTGTTTTACTATAAATGTCCATGTCTCCTTGCAAATTGTTATTACCAAATATTATCGCCCTGTATTATATCTAAAGAAATTAAATGATGAAGAATCTGCATGAATACATGTATGTTTCTCGCACTGTGACAAAAACGACGGTATCTAGAGCATCAAATTTTCAATAATGTAATCCTCCACTCGAACATGGGCATCTGGGCGGCAGAATTTAGAATTTGTTTTAATCTATTTCATATTTTGTAAAACTTTAGCGACTTTTTGATTAACAAACTCAACGAGTTCAGAGCGAGCACTGTACGGAAAATAACAGTTTTATCTCCAGTGCGGAAATTCTAAAGATATGCTGTTTTCAAATGTATATGGCGAAGAACATGATATTCAATAATTATACGGGTAACACACGAAACTTTAAAAAAAGAGTCCTTTTGCGCGTAATATAAAATTTGAGTGCTTCTAGATTTTATTTTATCTTTTTTTTTTCCTTCATTACGCTCAGAAAATTTTATGCTCCGAATTTTATGAATTATTAAAATAACTAATCCACTTTAATGTTAATAATTTAATGATTATATAATCAAATGAATATGATCGTTTTGTAATGTTATTATAGTTTGGAAAATCACTGTCTGAAAATGTTCATTAAATTAAAAAAAGAATTATCAGATCTTGTTTGATTTTACCTTATTTATTTCAAAGCATCACGTAGTATCATTCTTATGTAATTTTACTTTATTTTTACGCAAACTTAAGTTCATAAATTTTGTGCTTAGAGTTTATACTGTTTTACCAAAGTAAAGATGTTTGTACAAGAATTACGCGTGAAAAAAATGCGCGAAATGCAATAAAAAGTGCTTTAATGAGATATATTAAATCCTATTTGGAAAAAACTTGTGCTTTCATAATCTCATCACTATACAACGTATTATATTTAATAATTAAAAAGAGTTATGTGATACAAACGCCATAGGTTTCAATGTTAAAGTAAACCAGATCGTCCCAACTCTTTCTTGGCGACATGTCGGTGACGCGCGCCCCGCCCACTGGGTTAGTCTATTTCTTATAAGGTCCATGGCTATTTGCTGATGACGTAGTCATCTGAACTCAGGCACCAAAAGTAATGCAAAGCTTGTGATGGAGGAGCGACTGAATCAATCCATGACAGTACTTTCAAACTGATACACTGAAAATAATATAATAGTAAATTTAGATAAAACTGCCGTCCAATCCTTCTCACTGATCCATTAGGAACTCTGCCCTGAAGTGAAGTTTAAAGATGCTTGGAATGTAAATGCTGATTAATTTAAATACCTAGGAGTTATTTTTGATAGTAAGTTGAATTCGAGACTACATGTAGAGTCACTTATAGATTGCTCCTATCAAAGACTGGCTATATAGAAACGCTTGGCTGGCTTCTTGTGAGGAAGTGCCAGAACAACTTTAAATATTTCCTATAAGCCATTCGTATTACCTTTGATTCTATATTGTTGTGAATCACTCGTAACGAAAAGTGAGCTAGTTCTCAAGAAATTTCAAAATCAAACAATGAAAAATTTCAAAATCAAACAATGAGACTTATTACTGGAGGTGTTTATCTACCGTTATTTAAGCTATGCTACTGCTAACAAAAATTTGCTCATAAGAACTATTACTGAAGAGAGAGCTGTTACCGTATATGAAAAGTTGCTTCGCATTCGAGATCATTTCTGGACTAATTACCGAGACACAATTAGAAATCTCAAGACCTAATGTGGCTTTCTACAAAAAGTTCGTAAAATTAGGGAGGAATGTAGTCTAATCGATCGAATACAAAAAACTGTGAAGGTTAAGTTAGGTGAAGGTTAAGGGTGTTGTCCCTTGGATTATCGCTAAGTTTTTGTTTCATTTGTCGCTAAGCTGTTGTTTCATGTATGGTAACCTAAGAATTGAATGTTATGGAAACCTTATTATGACGTAATTGGTTGCGTGATTGTGGTGAATTTTTCTGATGAGAAAATATTTGTTGGATGTCAGTTAGAAAGTGCGTCGCGTATTGTGTGCTTTGCATCGCAAAATGACTGCCGATAGTAAAGTGGGTGTTTGGTGGCATAGAACAATAAAGCGAAAGGTGTTTTTTTAAATGGTTGAGGAAGAAGGAAAGAAATTTTGTTGGATGTAATTCAGCGGAATTATAAGTGTCCTGTTTGTACCATGGAGGTAGGAAGTACGAAGGAGAGGCCCTAACTGGGTTCCCCCTTACACTGCTTTGAAGCACTGACTATCTCTTCGTGGTGACTGAAACATTCAGTGTCTTACCATTAAGATCAGTGGGTTTTGAGGCGATCGGATGTAAATATTTTGTAATTGAGTCGTAAATATACATATAAATGTATATTTTTTTCCTACAATATTTCAGAGTCCTAATTATGTGAAAAGAATACATTTTAAAACAACATTTCATTCTGAACGGAATTAAATGCTATACTTTTCACAGAACAGTTTGCTCCGAACGGTTTAATTTGAATGTAATATTTTCACAAGTTTTCATTAATTACATTAGAAAAAAAAAATTAAGGTAATTTGATTTTATTCGGTTAAGGATTACAAAATTAAAATAAAAAGTTTATTGTATTATTAATATTAAAATTATGCATTATTTCTTTTCTATTTATAGAGCTTCTTCGTAAAATACTTTCTTAAATATGACATGATGTTTTTTAGATTCTGAGGCATCCTTTAAATAAATTTAAAAAAAAATTGAAGTCAATTTATAACGTAATGCTCTATTCTATCCATTTCAAATTAGAGCACCGTTTATTTTAATAGGGAAGTACGTTAAATATTGGTGCTTATTTCCATGTACCTAAATTTCTCTGACTATTTCCGAAAGGGAATAAAAAAGGGATTTTTTTAAAAATATTATTTAAAACTTTTAACTGAGTTATTATAAAATAAAAGGAAATAATTCTTTTAATTATACTTATCATTTTTTTTTCTTTTTTTTTTTTGCCCTTAATTTCAACACTACATATTCTAAAACTCTTCTTTGTCTTCCTTAAATACTCATCTCATATAATTTACTTTAAAATATCTGTAGAGACATTGCGTATTTTGGAAGCAGGTGATGAAAAATAAGCAACACCTTCACTGGGAATCGAACCACGTATCGCGGAGCTTTATATAGTGACCATTTAGGTCAGCATATAAAGCTTACCATTAGAAAGGGAACATGGTTCGAGAAAAATTTTTGGATGCTGTTAAGGAATTTTGCGTGCCACAGACTGAAGAAGAGAAATTTCTAAATAAGGCAAGTGGATATTTCCTTTGTGTAGTGCGTAGTGCTTTTTTATATTATTTCACTGTTGTTTGATTTAAAATGCAGTTTCTTGAGATTATAATTTTTTTTTTTTTTTTTCCTGTGCCTCTAGTGTAGAATTGAGTGCTTCTTCGATTTTTAAGTGAAAATAGATAGTTGTATACAGGAAAAAATTCTGGTTAGTACGCAATGCTGAGTTTGTTCAATTCTCTGATGTTTTTTAAGTAAAAATAGGAGGTTGTGTACATGGATACCAAATTTTGTGCAATTCTTTAACTTGCTATTTTGGCTTTGTGTAGTTGCGATTTTTGTCGTAAATAACGCCGCTACACAAAGCCAAAATAACAAGTCAAAGAATTGCAGTAACTCGATGCTCGTGTACTGCCAAAAATCGCCAATTTTCTTCAAGGGGCCCTAGTAAATAAATATATTTTTACCAAAGTGAAAAATTTCGAAGAAATGAAGTGAAATGCTGACATCCGCTCATCAAGCTGTGTAATTTGTCTTTCGTCATGTTTATTTGAAAAGTGCGATTTCGTCAAAATAAAAATTTTCAGTGACGGTAAATTGCGCAATGCCTGTCATTTAAAGTAGATTAACATTTTACATACAGTATCATCTAATGAAGTCAGAATAAGGCTTATTTACGCTACAGTTTTATATTTTAAACTCTAATGATGTATTTTTTTGGTATGGAGTATAATATAATTGGTTAACATAATTGTATGGAGTAAACATAATTGTTTTTTTCGTTTTCATTTCGTTTATTTCCTTGTCGCTCTTCATTTAACATAATGAAGTATTTCTACATGTTCTGCCCATGTGGAATTTTCGGAAAATTTAATTCTCTTTTAACTTGATGATACTAGTTTTATTTTACGATATCGAATATGGAAGGGAGTATAACTGTAGAATTTTGTACAGGAGAAAAACCTCTTATTCTTAATTCAGCAAAATCTTATATCGTAGAAAAGGTAGTAATTGCAGCATGTAAACACATAGGAATTGGACCTTTACCAAGGCACTTATTTGGTTTGTGGAGTCCATCAGAATTGTTATGGTTTCCTCCTAGTAAGAAACTGGAACTGTGCAATGGGAAAAAATGGTATCTTTTATTACGATTGCGCTTCAGGCCACCCAACATAAAGCGTCTGATAGTGAGTATATTTCTTTATTTTATACAGCAGCTGTAGCTCGCGATTTAATTTTAAAATATTAATATTTGAAATGTATTTTGCATAATTACCACCGCTTGTTGCAGTGCGTTATTTGTTCGGCGCGCTACTGGATTAGATTTAAACTGCTTTTTACATAGTATTTTTATAGGATGTATTTTGATAGATATATGCAGATCACATTTATTAATCTTCTTGTGTGATGTATATTTTAAGTATCTAATGTAGTAGATTTCATGCACAGCTTCATATTTGATCATTTAATATGTAATTGATTTCATATAAAGCTAAAAATTTAAATTTTGAATTTTTACAAGAGGAATTATCTTCATAACATTCATCCATGAAATCAGATAAGACACATTTTCATACTTTTTAAAAGTACTTGAATTTAGAAAATTGAGTTGATACATGGACTTGATTCAAGATGTTTAATGTTAGCAATAGCCCTTTATTCAGGAGTAAACTGTCTTGAGAAAACTGTTATGGCCTTCTTTCATTTTTTTTGTGAAACATTAAACTGTAAACTATAGATTGACATACAGATAATTTAAATAATGCATGCTAAAAATTATGTAGTTATTGTTACCAATCCCACTTGTCTGACAATAGTCAGCACAAGCCCATGATATTCATTGTGGCAAAGGAGTCTAATGCGCCTGTTATTGGCAAGAGCCTCGAGCACCATATAGGTGACGGCCTGATTATAAGGTCAGCTCTACCACCAATTTTGACGGCTTGGGAAGAGAGATGGGATCTGAGGATTTATCGTTCCCTTCCCCTTACCACCAATCTCTCGAGTGGCCCTCATCTTTAGAGTGCTCCCAATGTCACACAAACACTATACATTTACAAACATCCATGCCTTCTCTGGGATTTGAACCTTTGCCTTATGGTATGGCAGTCAGAGTAGCTGACCACTATCCCAGTCGGGTGGCACACACACACACACACACACAAAAAAAAAAAAAAAAAAAAAATTAAACTGTGATAAACTAAATCTTATCTATAGAAACTTCCAGTTTTTTTAAATGATTTTAATAATAACTCTTATTTTATCTGAAGCATTTCAATGTGTTACCGGGATTGGTAAAGCATGTTATCAACACTTGCATTTGTATTTAATTTTGCTCTAAATTTGTAACTAGTGCATTAGTAATTTTATTCCTAAGTGTTATATGCGTATTAGTTATTTAACTTCATTACATGTATAAGCATTTTGATAAATAAACCTTTTTCTTCCCTGCTTGGGTTTTCATCAGTACAGTAAAGAAAAAGGGAAAAAAGAAAGAGAATTTACCCAAGATATAAATTTATGGTACTTACGTATTATCGCAACCAGGCCAAAATTCGCATAAATTGCCAAATTTGGCGACCCTACTTACAGCAACCCTACGTGTTATACGTAGTTTTGTAAAAAGAGCATGTGGAGATCACAAAATTTCCTGCATTTCGTTGCAAATTTTGTAATTTATGAGAAAATAGCAGTGTACATGGATAAGTCAAGAGTGTGCGCAATGCCATTTTTGTGCAATTCTGGGATGTTTTTTTAAAGTAAAAATAAGTCAACGTGTACATGGTTATGGCGAATACGGTTTTCAATCAGTGCTAAAAGCAATAGCCAAAAGATTTCCGCCGAAAAATAATTCTGCACTATTCAAATTTGGAAACTGGAAGGGTTAATTGCTGTTTTATATTTTAAAACAAAATAATATAAAAAACTGTATTAAAATTATCTGTAATTAATAAATGTACATTTTCTTTCTATTCATACTTTTTTACTCAAACTTACAAATAGCGCCAACCTGGTTGCGATAATACGTAAGTACCAAATTCATCATTTTTCATTTTAATTTCTGTATTGTACATTGAAATAAAACTGATCAGTGTAGTGGTTAGCATTGCTAGCTGCCATTTCATTAGGCCTGTTTCAAATATTGAACAAGGTTATATGTATTTGGCATGGGGATGCTTAAAATACAGGTGAGTCAAAAGTTCTCTCGAGGTTTTCTGGTAGAAGAAGAAGGATGGAAAGTCTTCAGATCTCTTTTCCAGGTTGTTCATCAAAACTGGAAAAAACTTCCTCATTCTTATCAGTGTGAAATCAGTCAGCTCCTGTTGTGCAACATTCTTGGTTTTAATAACTTAATGACTAATGGATACTGGTAATTACTGAGAATGTGTTAAATTTCAAGTATCTAATCATTTGAAATAACAGCATTAAAATCATGCCATAATTAATTTAATAATCCAAATTACCCATTTGACTGCCATTACTACAGATCAAATTATAAATGAATTTGCTAATTTAAGAGTCTTTTTGAAGTTGTGTTTCCACATAATGCAAATATTTCTGAGTTGGTTGTTATTACGTTTTTAGAGCTTGTTATATTTTTAACATAATATGCATTTATTATAAGATTATAGGGGTTTTCTTTCGCAAAGGATCCAATTATAGTATTATAAGTTATTCCAATTATAGTATATTATTATTACATATATTATATTTATCCACTAGGTATTGGATGAATCTCACTGCCTAGTAACCAAATATGCCGTCATTTCTTTTTTTCCCTTTTCCTCCCCCTCCCAAGATACTGAAAAGCGAATATTTTTGTCAATGTGTGTATGAATAATGTTTTTATTGTTTTTATAATGCATAATGTGAAGAAAGTTGAATGTTTAGAAGAATAAAGTTTTAAAGATATATTCACCTTCAAATGATAATTTTTAATTGCTTTTCTGAACATAAGACAACTTCAAATTAATGCTTTAAAATTTTTTTTTCCCAGGAAAAGACAGATGCTAAGACATTTGGATATTATTTTCATCAAGTGCGCAATGATTTTTTAGAAGGAAAAATTCCGGAACTTTTTACTAGGCAATTAAGAGAATCTGCATTAGGACTCGTTGCTACAGATATTATTCGCTTAATGCTGGAGTTGAAACTGAGTCCTGACACAATGAAGTATAATAGTCGAGATTTTCTTCCACAGGAATTAAAGAGAAGTCCTCTATGGGATAACTTTCTTCGCGATCCTCTTCAAAAAGCTGTTAGTCGAGGGTGGAAAAATAGCAGACAGAATCCAGAATTTGTAAAAGTTTGTATAATTATTATTATTTTTTTCTTAATACCTTAAAAATATGTATACTTTAAAGAAATTTATAATCAAGTATGTATTGTTTTTATTATATTTGCTGTCCTTGTAAAATAAGTAGTATTACCAATTGTATCGCCAGTTGTAGAAAATACAAGGCTTCATGCACAAGTGCTTCAGTTAAGCATATGCATAACTATGTCTTAAATAATTCTTTCTTTATTAAATCAATACTTAAATATCCATATGGTATTAATTTACAATGATTTAGTCTTACCACAAATTTTTAGCTTAATTTACAGTGGCTCAAATTTGTTTTAGGACATTTGCATTTTCATTTTTATTTGCAAATATCAGCTACTAAATGTTACTGAAATCCTTTTTTTTTTTTTTTTTTTTTTTTTTTTTTTCACATGTGCTATGATAATCTTTCTGTTAAAACTTTCTTGTTTTAAAAAAAGTTATCCAAAACAGTTTTGGTTAAAAAAAAAAATTAAAAATTTTGAAAATGAACTCGCTTAAAGATTAGAATACTTTGAATAAATAATTTATTCAAATAAAATTATTATTCATTTAAATTTAACATGACATTCAATATTTTGTTGGATATCCTTTAGCTAAAATTATTCTTTTCATGCACTTTATCAGGAATTCATCTAATTTTTTTGTGCAAATGTTCCATTTTGTTCCATTCCACTATAAGTAATGCTTGTAGTTGAGCTTTTGAAGAAATGTCATGTTTCCTTATTCTGTTTTCCAACTACATCAATACATGTTTGATAGGATTTAAATCCAAAGGGTATGGAAGAGTTTTGATAACTTCAGAACAGTTGTGTAATAACCTCAAGTGAACATTTAGGTTTGCATGTTTTGGGCCCTTATCATGATAGAACTTGAATCTATTTTGCATTCCAAGTTTTCTTGCAGGTGCTTTCATGTTTTATTAAAAAAAAATGTGTAAAATTTTTAACAAGTTCATTCAAAAATGTAAAATATAGAAGTAAAAGAATCCCTTTTTCTTCTTGCACTCCCAAATCTTATGCAAAAAATGCATTTACAACTTTTAAAACCTAAAAATGCATGCGTGCGATGTTATTGTCATGCGATGATTTGTAGGTACTTTATATTTTACCGCAATATTTTTGCTGACGATGTTTTTAAACTCCGAAGTTTTTTAACCGCTTTATTTTCAACCACGATGTTTTAGAACTGCAATGTTTTCTCTTTGCTTCCTTTTCTCTCTCATGATGTTTTGTACCATGATGTTTTCGCCCTGCATTGTATTCTCTGCGTTGTTTTTGGCGGATGCCATGTTGCATACTTGATTGGAACATAGTGTGTATGAAAACTCTACAAAAAAAGCTTATATGCTGACATGTGGACTGAGCTCATTAATATATCAACAGTTTTAATAAAATCTTTCAGTGCAATGATATTAATATTGTAGTGAATTGATTTTTTAAATAAAGCATGATATCCTCAATCTAATGCATTATCATTTAATCTTTGGGTGATAAGAATTTGTTTTAAAAGAAAGAAATGCTTACTTTTCAGTTTTCGGTAAAATCCTAGAAGAGCCCACACCCTTGGCGACAAACTGGGAAACTGCAGAATCACCCACTGCTTCGTGCATTTCTCAAAATTGCCAACTTGAAAATAACAAGAAAAAATTGCACAAACTCGATATCCATGTACACATCGACCTATTTTCGCTTAAAAAAAATTCCCAAAATTTCACAAACTTAGCATTGCACGCTCCCTTGACTTTGTCCATGTACACATCAATACGGGACATATAAGTGGGGGCACCAAGGTTGTGGGCTCTGCTACTATCCAAATTTTCTGTAAATTTTCTTGTATTCTGTGTAAGGTTTCTCACAGTCATTATTCTGCCATTTAAAATAATTTCATTGCATTTCTTATTCCAGACTTGTTTCATTTATACAGCTTGCTTCATATTTTTAGTGTGGGGAAAAATATATTTTTTGTGATTGCATTACTCTAAATTATGACATCAAAATACAGAAGTTCATTTATTTTTTAATAATTTTGATAAAACAAGTAAGATAACAAAGTGTAAAGAAATTAATTGCCTACTGTTTTTCACCCAAGTTTAAACTATTAGCATAGTTCAAAATTTTATAAGCTGAAAATAGCTTATAAATTCTAATTAATGACATTACTTTGACAATTATTCTAATTAATGACATTATTACTTTGAAGATATGAAAATCCAGAAGTGGTTGTTGAAACAAAGCAAAAATATCTTGTTTACAGAAAGGCACTGTACATATCCTGTTGATGTAATTATGCATTATGTAAGGAATGGATACATTTTCAGTTAGAGTATATTTAAGGGTGACCTCTTGGATTATCGCTAAGCTGTTGTTTCATTTATGGTAGCCTGAGTAGTTGAATGTTATGGAAATCCTATCAAAATGTAATTGGTTGCGTGATTGCGGTGAATTTGACTGATGGGAAAAGGTTTGTAAGGGCTTCTTTGTGTGTTGGTTAGGAAGTACGTTGCTTATTTTGTGGTTTATGTAGTAAGATGGCTGAATGTGGTAAGATTAGTTTGAAGTTTCTATATGATTTGGAATTAAAGGTAAAAAAAGCATTAATTGACTGGTATGTAAATGTAGGTTTACTTAGTAGCCATTATAAGTGTCCTGTTCGTACGAAGGAAATGCATATGGTGGACTGTAGGAGTATATTTTTAACTCTTAGTTTTGTGAATTTATGTGGTGCCACCAGTATACAGATTCTAGTTCAGATAATTTTAGTAAGTTTTTGGATGCTGTTAAGGAATTTTGTTTCACTGAAGACATAGAAATTTCTAAATAAGTTAAGTGGATATTTCCTTTGTGTAGTGCTTAGATGCTATAAGGAATTGCCTTTTTTATGTTATTTCATTGTCTGATTTAAAATGTAGTTTATTGAGATTATATATTTTTTGTTTGACTGTAGTGTAGAATTGGCTGCTCCTTTGAGTTTTTAAGTGAAAGTAGATCAATGTGTACATGGACAAAGGGAGTGTGCAATTCTCTGATGTTTTTTTAAGTAGGTCGATTTATATATGGATACCGAGTTTGTGTAATTCTTTGACTTGTTTTGGCTTTGTGCAGCAATGATTTTTACGCCAAAAATCGCCGCTACACAAAACCAAAATAACTCAAAGAATTGCACAAACTTGGTGTCCGTGTACCACTCAAAATCGCCAGTTTTCGTCAAGGAGCACCTGTAAATATATTTTTACTGAATTTTTAAGTGACTGTTTGTGCACGTCTTGACCACTGGCACAGTAATACATAAGTCAGGTAAAGAAAATGTGCCCAATTTTAGATGGAAATGTTTATTTTTAGAGAATTGTAAGTGAAAAATAAGTAAAAATGAAACCACAATCTCAGTAAGGTAATATGATTTTTTAATATTAAAAGATAAATTATAAACATGGAAAACTAGAATGCTTTACTGATTTGTAGAAGTTTTATAGTTTTTGTATTGTGTTTTGAAAAAAGTTTGAAAACTTTTTTTGAAGAATCAAACTTTTCAAAAACAAGAATTTTTTTGCCAAACTTAACTGAAATATCAAGAGAACTATAAAAATTATGGTTATTCTCAAATGTTATTATGCATAAAATTTTTATTCAGTATTATATATTATTTAAAAACTGTTAACAAGTTTACAATTTCATGATTTATATTTTCTGTATTATATTTCTCTTCATATTTTATTGCTTTAATCATCTAAAAAAATGGCATTTTTGTGGTTAAGCATTTTTATCTTTAATAGGGGGAGCTGTAAGATAAAAAATATTTTAATCATAATACTAACTTTAATTTTCAATGATTTCTGAACTGGTTTTAATTTGGTTATTTCCTCTTTCTGCCCTAAAAATAGTTACCGCTTATAGTAAAACCTCTCTAAACTGTGTCATTTCAAAATTAATATTCTTTGCATAATTCTTACATAAGGCTCATGATGCAGATACTTTTAAAATGCTTAAACTATTTATTTCAAATTTGAAAGCCAAACTTAAAATTAACCGATAGGAATAAAGCTGTACTAAAATTAAATCATTTTGCACTAGACTTTCATCTTGGACATGTCTCATTCCTGCACTGGCAACATGTAATTGCTTAATTCTCTTTCAGCAATTGTATTTTCATAACAATGTGAAAAACCATAAATGTGATTAAGAACTGGTATGCAGATTATATCCATTGAACTGTGTACATCTATGTCAAGATTGTTTTCATCAGATATAAAAGTGCTGAATCTATCTTGACTACTAACATCTTTTATGCATCATCACTTCATAAACCATGCAATGTTATGGCAAAATCCTCCAAATTATTACATAAGGTAAATGTATGTATATAATTTTCTTAATCTTCTAAAGGGAAAGAAATATAAAAATGTGAGGAGGTTTGTTATTTTTTAACTAGAAAAAGCAGTTCTTACTGTGATTGTCTTTTCTTGATTAAAATATTTTCTTGCAATTTATTATATAAAAAAATTTTTAGGAGAAATATTTGCAACAACTGACTGATCTGGTTCCAGATTATGGATCTGAAGTGTATCCTGTTTTAATTGATGATGGCGGAAAAGTATATGAAGTTACTTTGGCTGTTAGTCCATATCATTCCATTTATCCTGGTCTTCGGATGAGATTTCAGAGAAGCAAAGATGTATGTTTTAAATAATTTTTCCCCACAAAATTAATCAAGTTCTCTTCTTTGTTTGCACAATATAAAACATATTTAAAATTTTTTGTGTGTATATTGATGTATTTTTACTTATATGTATTTTTTATTCATTAACTTCACTAATCTTAAGATTATAATAAATTTTTTTCAACTTTTTTCTCTATGAAACCTTTGTTGGGTGCAGTGCTACTAGCAGTAGTTAAATCTATTATTTCTCTAAACCACAAAGTTTGTTTAAAACTTTTTTTAAGAGCAATGCATGCTTGCTTTTTGATTTAAGATAATATTTTTTCTTATAAGGGTTTGTTTTGATATAGAACAGAGACTATTTCTAAAATGACTACCTGCAGTGTGAAAGCTGATTTTTGTCTTTTGTTTAGGCAGTCCTCTTAGAGAGGTAATCCTCTGGATAAATGCTCATGTTGTTTTTTCAAAAATACTGGTTCCTTTCATAGGTGGTCATTTTAAAGTGGGAATAATAAGAGGGTTTAGCATTTCAGTGAAAAGTTTTGAAGTTACAATTTTTCCTACAAAACAAATTTTGTCAAAATGTTCCGTCATTAAAATAAATGGTGGTGAAGTTATAAAAAATTCACATTTTATTTTCACATTTGAATTGGACATGTTATTGTAGCATGTTTAGCATTATTAAGAGTCAATTATTACTTTATATTTTTTCTGTTCTAATAATTTTTATTACTAGTATTTGCAAGATAAATTTTAATTATCAATAACCAGTAATATTCTTAAGTTCTAAAAAAATCTGTCATGTAGTGTTACATAAAGATTTATATTTTGTTAATTTATTATTAGAAGGTTGGTAGTGATGAAAATAGTTTAGAACAGTGGTTCTCAACCTTTTGACTAATGGATACCATCTAAATAAAAACTGAAAAACTTTATACCACAACTACATTTTACAATGATTGTTTTTCAATTTCTCAATTTGTATTAAGTATGCAGAAATAAAAAAAAAATCTTAGATTAAAAATTGGTTACTATTTTAATTATCAAAATTAAGAGTTATTACAATATATTAATTCTAAAATGTAGTGCAAAATTTTGGCTTGCTTAAGAGAGATCAATTTCTTTGTATCTGGTCTTATTTCACTTAGTTTTTAACTGTAAATTAGGATATACTTTTAATTTTGTTCTGTATTTATTTTTTCAAATATAACAACCGTAAATTAGGCTATACTTTTAATTTTGTTCTATATTTATTTTTCAAATATAACATGGAAGAAAATCTTTGTTCACACAAATACATTGTGCAGAAACATTTAATACTTTTGTTTGAAATGCCTTTAATCCTTCCCCCTTTTGGTTCAGCCAAATGTTAACAAGTGTGTTATTTTTGAAATCTACAGTTACAGTTCGATCACATGAAATTTCTATCAGATGCTGTTTTTCTTCATGAGATAAAATTTCAGGTACATTTGAACAAAATGGATTTCTAATCCAATTTTCTTTTTCATAACGCTCAGGAAAATACATGCTAAAATTATTTATTGATGATAAACAATGATTTTAATGTTGGGTGCTAATTCTACTTTTATTTTCAAATTATTTTTGGTTAGAAAACTTTCTAAAAGTGGTAAAAAGCTTAAAATTATTATCCAAATCTTTGATTATTAGCTTGATTTTTTATATCATTGCATTTATTTTATATCTAATGGTAAACAAATTAACAATTTGTCTTTATTCCTAAATTTAATTCATTTACCTTTTCAAAAATATCTGCTAAATGTGCCAGTCATAGTTCACTAAATAAAAATTTTTTTCATTTGAAATTTTGGATCACAGAAGAAAATTTTATTTTCTCATCGAAGTTTAAAAAGACGATTAAAAATTTTGCCTATGGATAACCCACCTTATTTGAATGTAACGACAGCATTTTATGTTCACTGCCCATCTCTTGGCATAAAATCATAAATATTATTGAATTTAAAGCACAAGCTTTTTTTTTTTTTTTTTTTTTTTAAATAATTATTTTCACAGTTTGATTCAAAATGATTTTCAGGTTTACGAGGCCATTAAAGTTTCACGATGAATGGAGTAGTGAGTAAATTTAGTTTCAGCTGCGACTTTCTTTATTTGAGAAATAACATTGGAATATTTCCCTGTTAAAGCCAAGCTCTGTCATTACATATAGCAATGCTTTATTCTAAGGATTAACATTCTCAGACATAAAATTGTCAGTTACTTTGAAAATTTCATTTTCAGTTGCTGTGTCATAAACAGATTCACAAAATAAATACTCTTTGGAAATTCATTTATCTTCAGAACATATGTAAACTATTAATTGAACAAAGTTTGTCATATCAGTACTTTCATCTAATTGTAATGCGAAATACTCACTGTGTTTTATTTTTTGAATGTCTTTTATGGAATTGTCCATCGACTTACTTTATCATTTGATAATAAAATATTATTAAGTTCATTACCCGCTTTTTCACTGAATATTGTTAAAACAATATCTTTAGCTGCTAGTAATATAAGGTTTTCTCCCAATAGTCTGCCTAGTCTTGGCAATTCTTAGGCTTACTAGGTAACTAGTTTCCAAAGCTTTTTCAATTGAAGTAACAAAATTTTGCATTACTTGTTTACTATATTTGAACTCAGAAAATTTCCTCTTAAAGACTTATCCTTTAAATTGGTTTTATGCTTCAGACTTATCCTTTAAATTGGCATACTTAGATTCAAGATGTTGTTTAAGAAACAGTTTCATACTTTGATTGGATAATAGTTCTCTGCAAACAGCATTTGAAGTTGAGGGTCCATCTCATCTCCATTTTAAGTAAACCGAAATGATAAATAACTTTCATTATATTTTCAATAAACAATTTTTCTTTTCTTTTCAATATTCTTAGTGTAAGTAGATTATCCTGGATCATCACCTGTGAATCATAATTTTTCTGCTTAGTGAATCTTAGCCATTTTTTCATTTTGATAATCTAGGTTTGTTGTATTATTTTTTAACAAATATTTAAATGCACAATATGTTAAGAGTTGTTAAAAACAAATGACAATATTCTCAAATCGTGTAGAAAAGTAAGGAATACAAAGCAGCAAGAAGACGAAATATTTGCTGTTAGAAACAGCAAATTGATGTAAAACAAATGATTCTAATTGAAAATAGAACAATATGAGCATTGAAATGGTGGCGACATAAAGTGTGCACATGCTAATAAATCGACGAATTCTAAAAGAATTAATGAGATATTATTATCTTTTTATAGGAACTTATTTTTATTTCCTATTAAATATAACATCCGGTTCTATTACTACTTTTAAAAACATCATTTATGACAAATTTTGTTATATTTGTGGCTAAAATAATATTTGTAAAAATAAAAAAGGATTATTTTGTTAAAGTCTGTGAGTGGCTGTTGGCCTTGAACAAAGTTCAGATCGCATAAATTTACAAGTATTAGAGAAAAACCTTAGATAGGATGTTAGGGTATTTAATTTTTGAATTTTTTTGTGTTTCTTTGTGTACCACCTATTTTTCTCTTGCATACCACCAGTTGAGAATCTCTGGTCTAGAAGTAACTGTAGTTATTATTTAAATCAGAAAATTATTCTTACAATCTTCCCTTTCATTGCAATGGATTTAAAATTTGGTACTTTTGTATTTGCTGGACTGTGCTGCTGTCATGATTCATTTGCTTGGCAATTAGTTCATTTATTTTTTATGAATAATTTTAAATAGTCCTTGCAGTCAATACGGCTGGCAGAATAAAATATTTAGACCATAATCATTTCTTATCTCTCTCTCTTCCCCCCCCCCCTTTTTTTTTTTTTTCAGCTTCTGTTGTTAAATTAGATTCACCTTCCCCCTTTTTTTTTAAATAAGAAATATATTTTGATACCTACTGGGTTAACTCTGTTGATTTCTATTCAAAGGTATATAAAGTTTTTGTTATTTCTTAAATTTGGAATGTTCCTTTTAAATAGATTTAGTAAGATGTTTTCCCCTCATCTGAAATTCAATATCTTTGACATAGAATATAAAATATGTAATATAAACTGGTAGATTCAGTTTTTGTTACTTTATATGCTAATATGAATAAAAACTAGTAATGAAATTCTAAATTTGGTGTATATGTATTTTCCTGTCAGCTGTGGAAGTAGGTAAAAATTTTTGCCAATCTTGCACCACTCAATTCAGCAGAAATTTAAAATAACAATATTAAAAAACTATAAATTCAAGCGTTGTTGATTATCTCACAAACAAATTCATTAAAACTTGCAATGCTCATTCTGATGACCAGAAATTCTTAGCAGCATTTAAAATAGTAGCAAAATAATCTTATTTCTTTGTGTTGGGAGCCATATATATTATCTTAAATATGAATCAAGAAGGGTCTGTGCAAAACTAAAAACCTAAACTTGGCGACAGAAGCAGCCCTTAGAGAGCCATGGCCTTCAGTGCCCTGATATCTGCTTTCTAGGCCATGGGCTTCGAGATGCATGTGCATCTTAGCCAGGACAAGTGGTCAGCTTGTCGCAGGACCTCCATTGTTTAGTCTCTAAGTCAACTTCTTACTCATTTTATTGACCCACTCCAGGGATGAAAGGCTGAGTCAATCTTGCTCAGCCTAGGGGTAGAACTCCGGACCTATGGTGCTGCTGCGTGACACACTAGCCACTGTGCCACCGGGCCTTCTATACAATTCAATGGCTCTTTTTATTGTCCTGTTTTGATGAACCTGCAGTCTTTCAACGTTTCAAACATATGTTTCAAACATATCTAGTTTTGTAACTTTGAAAATATTCAATTGCTTACTGTTCTGTAGAAGGCAGGTCCAAAATTTTAATAATTTTTTTTTCTTCCAAAATTAAGAAGGGGAAAACAGAAACAGCAGTTAAATTATATATTTTCTATGAAAACTAAGGCTTATTGAGGATAGGGGTTATACAAAACCAAAATGAAGACCTTATAAGTATGTTGAAACAGCACACTTATTTATTATTGGTGCTAAATTGCATTGTTTGGCAATAGTTTTTGTGTGTTGTAAATGATTGATAAGAAAAATGCACAAGTATCCTAAATTTAAACAGGAAGAAGATAGAAAATTTTTTGTAATCCAATTTTTCTGTGCTAACTAATAATCAATATAAATTGTTCTACTAGACTAAGATTGCTGCATTCAAATTTATGTCAATGTGCATAAATTTTTTAGATGAGAAAGTTTAGCTAAATTTGCAGTATTTTGATATAATATGTATGTATCCCTTTTTTTATGATGATGAAATATTTCAAAGTTTTATCAAATATTATCAGTTGCAAATTTTAAAGATCTATACTATTATATCATTATAAAAAGTGCAATTCCTTTATCATCCTCTTTGGCATTACGAAATGAGTACATAAATCTAAAATATACCTGAAGTTTTGTTTGATATACAATACCTTAAAAGTTGAAATTATTCCTTGCTGTAATGGCTGTAATAAGGAAGTTGTTTTCTTTGGTAAAAAGATAACCTCCGCATTTTCGTATTGTAAATCTTGAAAGTGCATTATCTATTAATAGAGGAACCTTTTTACTTAAATAATGTTTGACCTCTGGGACAAACATGTTATGAAACCATTCATTGAAAGCTATGGCAGTGACCTATGCTTTCTTATTAGCCATCCAATAAACGGGAAGGTTATTTATGTTTATTTCTTTAAATGAGCCTGGTGTTTTTGATTTGTTAATAACCAGTGGTTTCATTGTATAATTGCCTGAAGCATTGCAATAGAAAATAATTTTTGTATGACCTTTTCACTGCTTTATGACTACTAGCTGATTTGCAAGCTTTAGTAAACAGGTCCTTTCAGGCATTTTTTTCCAGAACAACCCAAACTCGTGAGCATTGAAGATCTGATCAAAAGTGTGGGAGTTGGAGGCAATGATTTCAGCAAATTTTGCTGGATATTGTTGTGCTGCATCCGAATCAGCAGATGCACTTTCTCCTTTCAATCTTAGATTATGTAAGGATTGTCTTTGTTTAAATTTTTCAAACCAACCATGACTTGCTAAAAACGATACCTTTCTTTCATTTGATGAAGTCGACGATGGCTGATTCTTTATAAATCTTTAAAGCCTTATTTGTAATAGCATTAGTATCAATTGGAATCCATTTTTGATTTTAGTATTCTATCCATATCACTAATGCCTTTTCCATTGTATCATCTCTGACATATAAAATTGTGCTCTTACTGCTGCAAGTTCCAGCTGCTACACTTTTTTTTCTAATATACTCTTCATTTTTTCTAATTGTCCTTATTGCGGCTTCATTGAGTAAAATTTAGGAACATCTGTTACTTTTTTTCTATTATGTAGAATATCTAATATTTTAATTTCTCCCCCTAAAGAAATAACTTTTCTTTTTATTTGATTTTTTTCAAATTTTTTGGCATTATAAAGCCTTAAAAAATTTACATAAAGTATAAAAATGCCACAAAAAATAAAAAATGTTGAAAACTTACCAGTAAATATTCAAACATGTAGATGAAAAAGGTGTAAGATTTGCTGCTAAAATAGTGATACTGCACTAGTTCACATGAACCAGATAGCTTTGCTGTTGTGAAATATATATGCATACTATGGGAATTCCCCTTTTACAACACAGGGAGTCCCTATCTTTCTTGTTGCCACAAGTGTTACCAAAAGAATGAGATTAAAAAATGACTTCAAATATACATATTGCATATATCCAGCCGAATATACATTTTTACCAAGTTTTTTAAATCCGTTATTTTTTAAACCGTGCAAAACCAAAATTGTGTAAAACAAGTACCGGTTAAATGGAGGAATAGGTATATATGATATATACATAAATTATAATACACACTCTGTGTATGCATATTAATAAAAATAATCATTTTATTTTTATGTTAGATAATAATATAAAATATTTGATAGACTTGGACTCATATTTGCTCTATCGAAGATTTATGCTACATTAGCATGAGGAATGATGAGACTGTCGAAATAAGTCGTCAGAATGGAGTCCCCCAAGTAAGCAAGTATTTAAAATTTGTGAATAATATGGTTGTATAAGTTTTAAAGATATATTTGAAAATAATAAAATTTCGCTTTTGATACTTTTTTATTATTCACACTCTCATTTTTAATACTTACTAGAATTGCCACATTTCTGGCATATGTTTGAATCTAAATTTTATAATATCCAGTCCATGCAGTTGTGTACCACATACAGATTTAAGTGTCTGAATGGGCATTGAATGCAAAATGGAAATAACCTATAAGTATTTGATACTATATTTAGAGAAGTAAGAATGCTTCCTTTCTAATGCACTCGCTTCATGTGAATGTAACAAATCAAAACTGAAAATATATAACTATCTATATAAATTGCACAAAGTAAAAATAAATAGACTACTATTGATAACAATCTAAAGTGTGCAAGATTGGGGAAGGCTGTTATATTGAAGCAATCCAAGATAAAAAATTAAAAATCAACCACTAGTTAACGCACAGTGTTTGGCATAATTTTATGTGTACTGAAGTTATGTATAACAAAATTTATAAAAATTATTATCAATGCCAGGCAATTAAAAATATCTTACCCATTGCCATAGCTGTTAGAATAACATAAAAAAGCATCTTGAAAGTAAAACTACAGCTACCAGATCAAAGAAGGCTTGAGCTGCAATGCTTGGAATGGAAATTAGAAAACAGTGTTTTGTAGAATTTTATCAGTATGTAACCGAATTAACCATAGCATAATGATTCCCATGGGAAATTTAAGCAGTTCATTCCTGCCATGTAAGAAAAATCTGTTTTCTTAAGTTTGTTTTAATCCCGGAAAACGTTCAAACTTAAAAGATTATGTAGTCTTGTATTTGACTTCTGATCTTAATGTAATTTGAATTGTGATATACTCCCATTATGTATGCTATATCTGTATTATTGAACTTATTGCAACCCCTAATTCAAGATAATAGTTTTTATAATATCTAGAAAAGAAAAGACTTTCGTAATCTAAAAAATTCACATGGCAGTCTTAACAGATCGAAGAGTTGAAGATTAAAGTCCTCAGAAGTTAATATAAACTGCTGGCCATCCAAAATGGAACACCTTGAAGGAAGCATCTAAATAACATGAAAATTGCATCATGTTTACATCACATTGGAATGTGCAAATGGCTATGATTTAAGCCACATGTTCATCATGGGTAACCTTGCCAGATTTCTGAAATGTTCGATCGGGACACCGGAAAGCCCCCCAGCGTCACGGGTATTCAAGGATACTAACCTTTGGTGGGTTTTTAGAGTGCTTTAGAAGGTAGTTTATTCTAAATGCTATGAATAAATAATTACTGATTAGGAACCTAAACCAGGGGTAATAATAAATGACACAAGCTTACAAATTTAAACATTTTATTTCTTACATGTTAGTATTTATGAGTTACTTAAGTAAGAAGAAACACTTGAAATGAGGAATAAAAATTGAAACAATATTTACATGTACTTTTCTTTGGTGAGGTCATTTTAATCTTCACAAGCTAATCTGATATTAAGTTTACATGTCATCAAGTATCTAACTGTAGATTCCTTCATGAAACCTCTATCATCAATCCATGCACTGTTCATCAAACAAAATACAGTCAAAAATCGTTAATCCGGACTCGTCGGGACTTCGGTGATTCCGGATTATAGATCATCACTTTAAATCTGGTAAGATGGCATGCAGATATTATAAAATTAAAAATATGAAACCGTAATTTATGAAATAAAGAACAATTATGATCTAAAGGGTATCAAAATTTACAAAAAAAAAAAAAAAGCTTAATATTTATTTGTTTACTTTATTAAACATTTCTTTCAATGTAAGTTGTTTCGTTTTATGTGATAATACTTTCTCTTTAATTCTATAAACAGACTTAATTTCTTCTTCAGTTACAAAGTTTGCTGTTCAAGTCCTATAATTGCTGTGTCGAGAATACCGACTAATTTGTCAATCGAAATTTTTTCATTTTCAATAACCTCTGTGTCACTTTCTTCACTATCGGAAGCGAATTATAATGACGAGGAATTTGATTTAAATCATATCAAAGACGGAGTACATCGAGATGAAATACTACATTTAGTAAGGAATTATAAGCCAAATAAAATAAAAACATCTGCCCTGAAGATAAGGATAGTGCTGACAGATCAACTTCTGCTGACATTGCTGAATTGCTGACAGATCAATTCATTGCGTGCTGTGGTGTCCCCCCCCCTCCGCAGAGCAGCGTGAAATTGATAAACAGATTTCGGAATGGTTAGTGAAAAAAAGGATATGCCTTTATCCATTTTTTGCAGCAATTCCACTTTTTGCTTAATGGACATCGAAACATACTTTCACTTTGTAGATCCTTTACATATTAGTAAATGCGTATCGGAAATTCTATTTGACATAATCGAAAGTTCAAGCTTACTTTTATAAATTGCTCTAACAGTCAGGAAAAAATAATAAGCCGGATCCAATTCGAAGATTAAGGAACAACACAATCTGCAACATTAACTGAATTAGATAATTTAAGCTTAGCTTATACCGTCCGTTATACATTAAAAGCGCATGCATAAACGTTTTATGCGCGTGCACACACGCATATACACAGCCGTAAAGGTCTTATGCGCATGCGTCAAAGCGACTCATGCGCAGAAAGTTTATAGCTTTGAGGTCCGGATTATAGATCATTTTGGATTATGGGTGTCCAAATTAACAACTTTTGACTGTACTCTCTCAACTGGTGCTGATGTTCCAGGTAAGCAGACGGCATACTCAACAATATTAATATTAATCAGATTGGGGAATGCTAAGTGATTCTCCTTGAAGTGACAAACAGCCTGAGCCCTTTTTCTTCACTTGAAATAATCACATCTCTGGTAGTCTCTTCTTGCTTCCACTACTTCCAATTTGACTGCAAATACTCCTTAGCACGCACAACTTCATCAAACATCTGATCATTATTTATTTTCATATCGGGTACATCAAGAAGACTGCTATTAATAATTTCAGCAGAAGTTTTGGCATTTCCCCACTCAACAGCATTTTGTTTTCAAATTGACCATGAAAACTCTTCAGCATTTCAAAAACTATTTTTCAGAGGTCTGAGTATGCAATGCATCTTTCATAAAAGTCATCAAATTCTTCTTTCACACTGTTATGGACTTGCTCATCTAGATTCCTGTAGATGTTCTTTGCATTCATGGGGATAAAGTTTGAAGCCTTTCTTTCAGTCAGCTTTCTTTTGAGAGCTTTATGAGCTTCAGCAACCTCAAAAGCTGTAGTGTTATCTTTTTCAATTATCAGGATGTTAATGGGCACATTTTTTTTCGGGGGGGGCAGTCTAAAAAAAGGCTTGCAGATCTTCAAAAATCTGTAAAATTCTTTCCAGCACAGCCATCACTGATAGAAATTGGGTGATTAAGACATAATAACATGCCGAACAAATACTAATTCAGAAGTCAAACAACAAAAATCAGCGTTATATTTTGAAAATTTTCACAGTGAAAATTTTGAAAATATAAATTTTGAAATTTTGAAACTGAGGTTTGCTGTGTGGTAAGCAAAGGTCGTCTCTTTCCCTGGCCAAGTTTTTGTCATTAGAACTCGCAGTCTTAAAACAACTAGTCAGTTTTGATGAGCTAGCAGCACATGCTAAACTTTTTTTGCATTTACTCGACTGCAAATGGTCTTTTATATTGGGTCACCTATAGTGAGCAACCAAAAATTCAGAATTACAATGTGAACATTTAACTCTATTGTCTTGATCTTGATTACCAGTACATACCTTTTTCAAAACAGGGAATTCATTCCTAAAATCCTCGGTGAATTTACACGACTGTTTTGGCATTTTAACAGAGAAAGCAGAAACTTTTAACTTAAAACATAAATAAAATAGTGCCAGGTCACTAACACAACAGTCACCACCGACAGAGACTGACAGCTGATTGACTTATCTTTTCTCTATTGTAAGCAGCTTGCGCCAAGGTGGGTGAGTCCAATGTTATTGCACACAAGGAGGTGAAGCAAAATCTCTTCTGAAACTACAGTCCTTAGTGCCCAATATTGGACTCGCCCGGATAGTCTCTCGCATCACGCATGGTCACGATTAGCGAGACAAGACGATACAATGACAATATTATTTATTAGCAGACCATCACTCTTCTATAGTTTACACTTTTCATACAATACAGAAATAAATGACAAAGTAATTATCCTAAATAATCCTTCACAGTTAATTATTTTTAGACTTTTTCGGTCATCTATAAAACCAAATTAAATTTTTACTGGGACATGAAGTAAACCGGCCGGGATAGGGGGATTTAGTCCGAAAACAGGGATGTCTGGCAATCAGAATCATGGGTGACTATAGTGCTCCTTACAATTCGTATATAAAGGGAGGACAGATTTTCATTTTTAATTATAAGAATTTTTCTCTTGTGAGATTTTTGTGTGTGTGCAGCTTTGTTATGCCCTGCAGAAAAACACAAGCATCAATTAATCGCATTTCTGAGTTCAGCCAAGGCAAAATCATTGCGTACAGTGATTGAAGATTGTCCTTCCAGGAAGTCCGTCATAATGTCAGACGTAGCCAAGCAATATTCATGCAAATAGGGAGTCATTGGTTGCTGGAGGATGCAACTGACAAGTAGGAGCATATTGTACACGTGGCAGTTTTGTATACACAATCATGTTACAGCAAATGCAATCTGTAACACAACAATCGCTGTCTGCATGAACTATTCGACATTGTTTACTGTTCAGTACTAGGCATCCATTGCTTCATTTAATTTTAAAACACAAGCGTTTGTGTTTGCAATGTTGCACTGAATGGTGAAGATGGATATCAGAATGGCATGGCATTGTGCTTTTAGATGAATCACACTTCTGCCTGAATCACACTTCCATGATGGTCAGATTAGAGTTTGAAGAGAGGCTGCTTGACTGCTATGCTATGCATCACCATACTGCCCTCATCATTATTGTGTAGTGTGGTATTGGATTCCATTCCCAGTACACATTATGGCACACTTGCCAGCCAGAGATTTTGAAACCTGTTCTCTCTTACCTCCAGGGCTTGTCTGTGGCGACATTTCAGCAGGATAGTGTACGACCACATGTAGCATGCAAGTTCAGGTTCTTTTTTAGCACGGCCTGTTGCATTGTTACCCTGGCCTGCCCTTTCTCCAGATTTGTTTTCCGTTGAACATATCTGGTCAATAACTGGAGAACATCTAACCTAGCATGCTGCTCCCACAGGTATACTAAATGAACTTTGACTACGTGTGGAGGCAGCATGGGCTGCCATTCCCCAACAACACATCCAAAACCTCTTTCACTGAAAATCGTGACATGTAGCAGCAGTTATTGAAAAACATGGAGGCAACACTCATTACTGATTTTCTTGTCTTCCTCACCTATAGAAGGTTGTATTTCAAATAATAAATGTTGATACTATGTGTAATCTCATTAATAAATTTGTCTTTGATATTTCTCTCTTGTGTTGCATTTTGGATGGTCAGTAGTGTATATGGCAGCCATACAATTCATTATAACTGCTCTAAGAAACTAACATCTGTCAATTTCTGAGAGAGTTGCAACAGATGATAGATAAAACTGTAATAGTTTGAAATGGCTGTCTAAGGTAAATGTGTGTTTTGTGCCAATAAAGAAAGATTTACTGCTTGAACATGTAGTGTTCATATTGATGAAAAGGTCTTTATCTTTGCTGATAAATGTGAAGGGGTATTATCAAAGTTATCAATTAATACATGAGTATCTAAATTACAGTTGGTAATTACATAAGTTTCTAAAAATGATTTCATGTTTCTAGAATGGAACCTGAAATTCTTTATTTAACATTGATACAGTCTGCACATACATTTTTGACTAGATCATAATAGACTTTGATACTTAAACTCACTTGATATATAAATAATTGAAATTTAGACTTTTTCTGCTTGCTTTTGAAAGATGTGAGCAAACTTTTGCAAGTGTTACCATTGGAGTTCTTTGGAGTTCTTTATAATTCTGAAAAGTCAGTATTCTATGGTTTATGTGTGCAACTCATTAGATGATTTTCATATGGAAATCGCAAATATCCATGTCAGCCACAGTTCTTCATGACAAATCATTGTTTTGTATTTTTTATATTCTAATTCTCTAAATTATATGAAGTCATTATTTTTTACTGCCAGTGTTTCAGTTCTTCACGTGGGAAGAGGAGGGAAAAAAGGGACTATTAAATGTAGTAATAAGTAATATATTACATTTATAAAATCTTTTAAACTTTTTAACTGAAATGCACTAAATAGTATAAAATAATAATTATTGATCACAGTATTCTGTTATATGGGTAACGATGTTATGTGGTAAAAAGTAAAAATATGTTATTGCTATCAGTGAAAAATTTCAAATGAGAATTGTCAAAACATCTTACATGTTTACCCACCCATCATTTTACTTTTAATTGCATATGACCAAAAAATATGTCAAGTAAAAAAAAAAAAAAAAAAAAAAATTACATATAAATAAATTCATGTAATTTAAAACTTTTTTGCTGTATAATTTATTTTATACTTAATAGCAAAAGTTATGAAGGGAAACAATTCTCTGATCCTGAGAAAATTATTCCTTCTAATCATCGTAACAAATTATACACTTTTACTTTTATTTTACAAATGCCAAACATTAGTGCTTAAGCCGTTAGTTCACGGGCTCTCCAGTACTTTTTAACAATGTCCTCATACCGAGAAATTGCAATACGATTATTCAAAAATTAAAAAATCATAGGCTGATTGGAGTCTCACAAAATACAGTTTGGGGAATTCACCACTTTAATTCTGCAGTGATGTTCTTGCAAGCAGTCATGTCCGGTCAGATGTCTAAATGCTGTTCTTGGAAAACTGGGGTTGAAAGTTGTCTCTTCCTCCAGAATCTCTTATCCATAGCATGTTGAATCATATCCTGCTTAAGAATTTTCTTAAGAGTCAGGTTAACAAACATTTTAGTTGTATGAAATGAAAGGGTTTGATTAATGCATAGCATTATGAATGTTGCTTTCTTAGCCAAAGTATCAGCTTTTTCATTTTCTGTAATTCCACAGGGGGCTGGAATCCATTGGAAAGAAATTCTGTGTGCTATTGCCTTAAGCAAAGGCCTACAGTCTAAGATTCTTTTTGAACTATTTTGATTATTCAAAAGAGCTTGAAGTGCACTTTTGGAATCTGACAATATGACTGCCTTTACAAAAGAGTGGCTATGAATTGACAGTTATTGAATAGCTGCAGCAATAGCTTCAATTTTACCATTAAAGGCAGCAGTAAGAGGACCCATTGGTAAGTAGAAACTAAAAAGCTTGCTGTGGATACCTGCTCCAGCAGTGCACGTTCTTTGTAACATCGAGCCGTGTAGACATGCAATCACTCATTTTGAGGATAGCGAACCCCAATAATTTTTATTGCAATAGATTTCAATTGTGAATTGCTCAACAACAACATTTCTCTCTTTAACAACTCTTTGAATAAGATCAAGCTTTATATTCAAATTCAAAAAGGTCCAAGGAACAATGGGGAGGAGGTAAAATTAGATAATCTCGGCTCAACTCCAAAGCATCAGATTCTCTCTGAGCAGCCTGTATAAAGCTAGTTTGAGTTTTAAGATTCCTAGAAATTTCCTTATTATAGTTCCTCCAAAAAGAGTTGTCGGGCAAACACACCAGCTTCTGGTATAATGGGATCGCATTTCTCTTAATACAATTATGAACAGGTTCCAAACTGGTTAAAAGCTGCATTGCAAGAATAGTAGATCTCACTGCCCCAGTAATAATGCTTACGGCTTTATTTTTCAGATGTTCCATAGTTTCCTCCAATTTAAGCATGGATTGATGATGCAACCCAAATATTTTGTCAAATCGTTAAATGATATACATGTGGTGCCTTTCCCCCTCATAAAATCTGTTACTTACAGTGTTAGGTTATATTCAGTTCATTTAAATTTCTGCCTAATTTAAAAATCTAATCTCATCAATGCTTAGAATTATTAGGTTTCGTATAGTGAAGGATTAAATTTTGTGCTTTAAAAATCTGTGTCTGTTAGCACTAAATTGTCAGAGTTAAGGGATTTCCCCCTCTCCTTGAGAAAAGCTGTTTGTGAGATTTTTTTTTATCTCTCTGATCTTGTGAAAGATCAAAATTTTCTGATCTTAAAAAAGGATGCATAAAAAAATTGAACACTAGCAGCCCCCCCCAACAGAAAAAAGTCTATATTCAATTTGCTATAAGTGAGTCTTTGCATAATAATGAATTGTTATTGCAAATGTACATTTGTTCAAGATTTCAAGAAATCAAATTAGCTGTTTAGAGTGAGGTCAGAAGTAATTTTCAGGGTTTGATTCTAACAGAAAAACAAGCAGAGATTACTAGACTAAAGAAAAAACAGTATAAAAATGGCAGGTTCAGCTCGAGATTACATCAGATGTTAGCCACTTATAAATTCTATCACCGGTGCCTCCAAAATTTTGCTACTCTAAATTTATCACCCTGGGCATTTGCACAGAATGCTGAGTTGTTATACCTTATACCAAATAAATCATTTCTGAAAATTTCTGCGGCATGTTTTTTAAAAATAGTAAACTGAAAATATTAATGAAATTTCTTATCTTTGATGTTAATATTAGTATAAAATTTAATGTTATTTTAAAACCTAGTCACTGTTTTTGCTGTAAAAATATTTCAATCTTATTTTCATTGCAGTTCTTTTTTATGTTATTTCTTAAACTTTTAATATATATATATACTAAACTGAGAGGAAGGAGAAAAAATAATAAAAATAAACACTTTAAAAAAACTATCCTTGGGAAATATGAAATTTATGAAAAAAAAAATCAATTTTTAAAATGAAATGCATAAACACATAAAATAATAAAAGGATATGCTAGTCAGGTCATAATTTTTAGTGATATGTGAATATATATACTTCATATAAAAAGTTTTTTCCCTGCTGTATTTAAAAGTGTTAACAAGGAAATTGTAGGATAATTAGTTTGTTCGCTAAATGAAGATATGTGTGTGCAAATCTAAGAAAAATTTTTTCAACGTTAAATAAAACAAATCTAAGCTTTTTTTTTTTTTTTTTTTTTTTTTTTTTAATGTAGCTTGAAAGTAAGCACCTTCATCTACTGAACATTATCTGCCAGTTTTTTTTGCCAGTTTTTTTAACTGGGCATGTGCAGCTTTGTGCATTGTGATACATGCAAACTTTATTATAGATATATATTGTTAACTTATTCTACATATTAATTAAACTGATTTGAGTACATTACTGTTTATTGATTTGTAATTTAATATGGTTATTTAATCTGCTTAAATATTTTATTCAGTATTTGCAATTCAATGGGAAACCACAGATGTATTCTTTTGTGTCTCTACTTGATGGATATTACCGTTTAACTGAAAAATGGACATTTAACTTATGTAAAGATTTGACTACTCCTTCATTGATTGAGCTACGTGCTATGAAATGCCATGGACCTGTTGGGTATATATGTTCATGCTTCTTTTGCTCAGTTGCTTTTTATTCCATGACTTATTTATTAACCTTATTTTTTATAGGTTAAGAGTTGTGTTTTTATTTATTTATTTATTTATTTTTTATAAGTAATATAAGGAGTTTAACGATTTTGCTTTTGGTTGTCCAGATTACAAGAGTAATAAAAGATATTGTCATATTTTTCTTTGAGAAAAGTGCAGAAATCCAAATGAAATTATTGCAGTTATTTCCTCATATATTTCTTCATCTTGCATATTTACCCCTAGCTTTTTCTTCTAATTATGTAAAACATGTGCACATGTAGGAAAGTATATTGTGTGAGTAAAAAGAATATTGTTAAAGTTAATATCTTCTTTGTAATACAGGATGCATTAATATGAATTCATCTGTTTATGTGCTTTTTAATGTTCTATGCTTTTTTAAGATGCTCCCTAAGAAGTATTGTACACTACATGATTTTCCCCTCGTGATATACAAAATTTACTTTAAGTAAAAAAAGGAGGGCAGTATGCTAGGAAGTATAGTATTATTAGAGAAATAGTTTCTATATAGTAGGATAAACTTGAGTAATGTTCACTGTCATGCTTTTATATCTGCTATTGTGGTTTCACAACAATTCTGAGTGGAAGAGGGATAAACATAAATTTGTTGTAAGTTTTAAAATGCAAACAAAGTGTTAACAGTCCAATAATAGCCAAAATGTAGCAGCTCGAGCTGCCAGTTGTGTAACTATGAGGATGGAATTAATAATTATAGAACTTAATATAATATAACATGTATTGCTAAGTTATTAAAAGCATGTCAAACTCTTAAGCTCATATCCCATGTTGCTGGCAGTGGACAATATATATGAGGGAGAACCTCAGCTATCAGTGGTTAGATGGTGTTTGGCTTGCTTTTGTTTCCAGATTTCCTTCTGTTTTTTAAATTGTTTCCACTGTTACTTCCCACATTCATTATATCCTCAATAGTAACGTATTGCAGCTCTCCTGTTCTCTAGCTTCTTATTTTTCGTGGCCAACCTCTTGACCAAGAACTAAACTACTTAAAAAGCAGTTGCTATTGACAGAGGCTTTACCTAACAGTTTAAAAATTCTCATCTCAACATATCAAAAAGCACCCTCTCATTTTAGATTATGAGAGTTCTATTATGATTCCTTTCTTTCCATCGATTAGCTGTAAAGTTACACATACTGTACACAATTCAGCTTTCAAGTAGTTTTCTGTTCAATCGATAAAATTCACAGTTTTATACTTAAACACCCTATTGCAGATATGAACTTCTGAAATATTTACACGATTCCTTGTCTACGTAGTTTAATTTACATTGGTCAAACTAAGAGACCCTTAAAATTTCACTCACCCTTAAAAATTCACCAAAAGAAGGAATAGGAGGCATATGTTAGGAAAGAAGAAGCATGAAAATCCTCCATTGCCCAATACTGTTGGTCAAAACAAAACATTTTCCGTTTTTCAGCAGTTAAAATTATTCAAACAGCATATTCCTTTGGCAAATTAGATTTTCTAAAAGGTTTCACATTCATAAAAATCTTCAATCTGTCTTTACCCTGAACCTTTTAAGAAAACTGTTTCATACTTGTTTTCATTTTCCATCAATAAATCATACGAGTAGCTTGTCTTTCTTCCTCTCATTGTTATCCCCTGAGTACAGGCTCATCTTTCATCATTTGCCCTTTTATCACTGAAGAAGAAAGTTCTATGCTTAAGCCTTCGAAACTAGTCCTGCAAGTTTACAAATATTATGTGGATTCTTGGATTCTTCTAAACCTCCAATAACTGTTATTTGGCATGTTAAATCAGTAATATTATGCTGTTTAAAAACTATTATTTCAACATTTCCCATTCAACTTTTGTGAATTTAAATATAGCACGGAATACTTGAATTACTCTCTTGGTTGCATAATTTATCATTTAAACTTAAGTGTATTTGCTTAGATACAGCGTGACAATTATTGAACTATGTGAAATAAAACCATCATAACTTCTGAATGATTTGCGTGATGAATTTCAAACTTTGTGTTTGACCGCAGGGCATGATAGGAACTAGTATATGCATGCACACAGAACTTATTATTGTCGGCCATTTTCAAGTAAAAATGTCACATTACAGTGCCTGAGCATATAGCACTTGTGAAGGCCTACTACGTGAGCAATAACAGGGTGATTGTGGCTCAAAGGAAGTTTGCGGCTGAGTACAAGCTGAAGACAACCGGTCCAAGTCGATCAAGAATTTGATTTGCAAGTTTGAGAGAATTGGTAGTGTTTATGATGACAGCGTTGGCAGTTATGGTTGACAAACAAGTGTGGAAGTGCCTGAAAACATCAAGAAGTCATGCGCAGTGTTTCAAACCAGCCCAAGGGAATTGATCAGACAAGCTGCATAATGGGTGGGTATCAATTGGGAGACCCTGCAACAAATTGTTGTTGAAAACCTGCATTATTTTTCCATAGAAAATTCAAACCCATCAGCCATTAAGGCCCATGGCCATAGAACAGCGGTAGTGTTTCGCCAACACTATTGTCGAAAGAATTGATGAAGAGGAATTTGATTTGAATATGGTTTGGTTTAGTGACAAAGACCACTTTCATTTGGATGCATTTGTCAATGAGCAAAATTGGTGCATTTTGGGGACTGAGAATCTGCATTTCGTGATCAAGAAGTCTCTCCACCCTCAACGGGTGACTGTGTGGTGTGCAGTGTCTAGTCACAGAATAATTGCTGCAATATTCGTTGATTGCACAGTAACTACTGAATGATACGTGAAGGTTTTGGAAAATGATTTCATCCCCATTATCCAAAGTGTCCTTGATTTCAACAAGATGTGGTTCATGCAAAATGGAGCTCGACTCCCATTGGAGCAAGATAGTGTTTGATGTCCAGGAGGAGCACTTTGAGAACTGCACCCAGAGGCCATTGGAATGGGGCTTGCTTGGCCACCATGTTCTCCAGATTTTAAGATGTGTGACTCATTTTCGTGGAGCTCTATTAAAGACAGTGTGTACAGAAATAACCCTAAATCCATTGCTGAGTTGAAAACTGCCATTCAGGAGGTCATCGACAGCATTGATGTTACGACACTTCAGCGGGTCATGCAAAATATTGCTATTCGTCTTTGCCACATCATAACCAAAGATGGCAGGCATTACAAACATGTCATAATGTAAATTTGAATATCTGTAGTCACGTTTACATGTTGATTAAAGTTTGTGCACTCATTAGTTTTTAAATAATTATGTTTTATTTCATATAGTTCAATAATTGTCACCCTGTTTCATATAATATTCATGATTACCCATTGTGTCACATATCTGCAGTAAGTGCAGAAACCCATTGCTCTGAGATAGGCAAATTATTATATTGTAGAAAATTTGTTTGATTTTTCTGCAATGAAATAGTTTTAGAACTTAATATGATCTGCTTATAAACATTAACAAACACATTTAAAGCATTTGTAATGTATTAACTATATAGTGTTAAGTGTCTGTGACACTTACATAAGAAGTTTTTTAGTCAGGGTGTATTTGCAGAACAATTTCAAGGGGAGGGGGAAATCCATACTTCGATAACCAAAGGGTTTTGATAGTTACCATGAGAAGGTATGTGGAAGAGTACTCTATATTTTTTCTGTGTCATGTTAGAAAAAGAGCAAATAGTGCATGATGTAGTGCACAAGTAATATGATAAGTTAAAAAAGAAATGTAATGCAGTACAAAGTCTGAAACCCTCAGTCATGGGAGTGGCAAGTCTGGATTTTAGATTATCAATTGAAATCTAGTAAGATGGCATGTTAACGTGACACCCTTGCAATTTCACTTATTGTTTATATCAGAAAGAAAAATGCTTACTCCTCAGTAAGACTGGTGACACAGGTGGCAAAAATTTTAGAATTTAGTGGAGCACCTAGCAGCAAAAATTAGGGATTGCAAAATTTTTAGAATTTAAGAGAGGTGCTGAGCAACAGGATTTAAGAAAGGCAGAATTCTAGAATTCAGGGAGATACCCCTTAACAGAATTTAGGATCTCCAGAGATTGCACAGGTTGGAAAAGGTCCCCCCCCCCACAAAAACTCAAGGGTCGAAAGTATGATCCTGACAGCATGGGTTACAATGCTAAATAATGTGTTATTGACTACCTAGCCACCAGGTGTTTGAAAGTGACATGCAGGCATCACAGTTAGTTGGGAGGAAAGTCATATTTATGGTACATCTGCTTCTTTTTGCTGAATACAGTACAAAATACAATATTCAGACTCCTTGAGACTTGGACAATTCCAGATTTGGGATTTTTCTGGATATTAGATCATAAGTGTAAATTTAGTAAGATGGCATATAGAAATTAAAAATTAAAAATAAGAAATTGTGATTTATGAAATAATAAAGCATTTATGATCTAAAAGGTGTCAAAATTTATTAAAAAAAGGCCTATATTTATTTGTTTACATTATTAAACATTTCTTTCAATGTAAGTTGTTTAAGTTGCTTCGATTATTGTGCTAACACTTTCTCTTTAATTCTGTAAACAGACATAATTTCTCGTTCACTTACAAAGTTCCATTTTGTTCAAGTCTTGTAATTACTGTGTTCAGAGTGTCGACTAACTTATCAATCAGAATTTTTTCGTTTTCAATAACCTCTCCGTCACTTTCTTCACTATTGCTAGTGGTATTTTCTGGATCTAGAACTATACTACAGAATTCACTGTCTGTTGATTGATGATTGGGGCATTGTCATCGCAATGAAAAACTTTTGTTATATTATCTTCATTTATTACTGCTTCTCCACATTTCTATACAAAATCCATTAATAGGAAAATTTCACCTTTGGTTTGCGATATCCAAAAACCTTTAAATTTGCAGCTATCACCTTCATCATCCTCACCATGAAATATGGTAGCTGGGCACAGAGCCGTGCCAACACAATTTTTCACCTGAGGCAAAGTGGTAAATTTGAGCCCATATAATGCAATG